TGAACTGTACCCACTCGTCAGCTCTCTTAGGGAAAGGAGAGGCTATTTATTTTTTTGAGTCATTCATGCTATGGCTAAGGAATAAGCCATTCTTTACTGGAGAGATGCTGTCAGTCTTAGGTGGGCCTACTCATTCACACAGAACTCAATTTCCTTCCCATTAGGTAGAAAATCTTGCTCACCTCTGTGATTAGTATAGGGATTCCTGGGATTCCTTGGCCTGGCCTCCAAGCAAGGTCTTCTGTCCTCCATGTCTCAATTACATGAATTCCTTCACGTTCCCGTTACTTTCAGTTATTTGGAAATCTGCACAGATTGAGAGAGATCAGAGCCCTTGAAATACAGTATCTAGCAGAAAAAAACCCAAAATAGCATCAAGCCAGTCCTTCTGCCTCTACATCTTAGTGATCTATTAACTAAGAGTTAAATCCGGATTTAATCATGGGTATGAGTGTTCAACTCTGTGAATGCCCAAATATGATCTAAAATGTTAAATTCACAATTTAGATGATTTCAAATTCCCCTTTCCCTTTATCCCTGCACTTCACTGGGGCAGGAGTTCATCAATTCCCATTTAAAACTACTGTTTGGTTTATGCCTTTAGCCAAGTATTTAACCAGTTGCTAGGTTTCATTTTCCTCTCCCATAAAGCAGACAAATATTGTTTCCAGGACAGAAAGTAGTACGTTTTTGTTAATCCAAAAACCATGTATTCACCACCCCACCCAGCATTTATATTACACAGTACTCTGTAGCTTACCGCATTCTACAGTTTGTAAATAATTAGTGAGCAGTTATCCCTTATCCTATTCTTTGGAATGCAGCCAAACTGATTAAGCCCTCTATTCTACTGAATCGAGAGAAGGAAATTACATGTTTCAATAACCAGAGGCTTAGCCTCTACAGGACGCTGTTTCCCCCGGACCAGCTAGAAATCTTTAGTTCTTTCCCTCTCCTCTTTCTTCTACCTTAAAGGTTTTTGACAGTGATCCTATAAGAGGAGGAGGAAGCCCCTTTAAGGGAACTTCTCAGTGCAACTCACACACATCACATGAGCTGGGGCTAGGGAAAGAGTGGGTGACTCAGAGCCCTCAGCAAAGGGATTTTTGAGACTGTCCCTCTCACTGAGTTTTAAAATATTCATAGTTGGAAACTGTGAATAGATTTGGCAATATATGAGGAATAGCTTTTATCCCCATCAGAAAAGGAGTCCGTTTCCTTCCTGCTGGGAATATTGTGGGTGAATCTCTTTCCCCATCACATCAAACCTAGCTAGCTCTCAAGTGCAGATTCAGTATTTCGGGTCTTCTCCCGCCGCCCTTAATTTAAAAAAAAAAAAAAAAAAATTCTGAGGAGAAAATGCCTTCTTTCTCTTGCTGAAAAACACTGAAACAGAAACTCAGAAATTTTCTGGGGTAAAAGAAATGGGAAAAAAAAGAAAAAAGAAAGCAAAGGGAGGAGCAAAGAGAACAGGAAATGCCATGAAATAAAGCAGACTAAAGTGGGTTTCTTTGGGAGTCAAGGCCTAAAAGGGTAGGAAGAAGAAAATCAGTGATGGTCAAGCTAGTAGACGGGTCAAATCAGAGGAGAATGGTAGTTACCAAGGGGGGGGAGGTGTGGAAGAAACTGAAATGAGAGGCCAGGGGTCCGTATGGCGGGGGGCGGGGGGGGGGGGCGGGGGGGTTCTACAGGGTCCCAAGAAGGTACTAGAAAGAAGGATGGAGGAATCACGGGCACCCAGGAGCCCAGGGGGTCCTGATGGACGTATTAGGGGGTCGAGGAGGAGTCAGGGTCGTGCGGTGGCACGAAAAAGGTGCTATGGCTAGGCTGGGCCGGGAATGGCAGAAGGGGTAGGGGGGCCTCCAGAAGAAGAGGGTCGGGCTGAGCTCAGCTAGGGGGGTCCTGAAAGTAGGGATGGGGAACGCAGGTACTGAGGGTTAAAGCTGGGGGTGAAGGAGGCGATGGCAGGTAAAGACCGAGGAAGATGAAGGGGGCGGATGGGGCAGAAAGTGAGGGCAGAGATGGGGGTAGAGGGCAGAACTAACTGAGGGAGTCGGAGGCAGAGGTGGCGATGGGGGGGCGCCAAGAGGATAACGCGGCTGTGAGGGGGGCACCCGGGACTCTGAGGTGGATGATGGGGAGACGGGGCAACGAGGGGGTGGCGGGGTACTGAGGAGGCGGCGGGGATGCTGAGGCGGGTACGGGGCGCGGGGGACTGAAGAGGGCGCCGGGGAGAAGCGGCGGCAGAGGCAGTAGCGGGCGGCGCAGGCGCCGGGGGTCGCGGCGGGCAGAAGCAGGTGCGGGGCAAGGGCGCGGGTCGGGGATCACTCACCCCGCTCCCGCACGTCTTCTCGCGGCCGCCTCCGCCGCCGCGAATGAGGCTCGGGTTCGGGCCCAGGAAGGTCCGCGGCCCCACCCGGCGCAGCGCACTTTCGGTTTCCTTTCCCCGCAGACACTGGGCGGGGCGAGGGGCCGGGCGGGCGGCCGGGAGGCGGAGAAGGAGGGAGGTGGGGGAGGAGGAGGGGACCTCGGGGCTGAGAGCGAGGGGGCCGGGCTCTGTGGCACCGCCCGCGCGGCTGACGGGCCGCCTGGCGTCACCTAGCTCCCCCCGGCGGCGGGACCGGCGGGCTCGGGCGGACGCGGCTGAGGGGAGGGGATTTCGGGGGGAGGGTTAACAGTGCCCAAGGCCGTCGCAGGCCTCAGCCCGCCCCGGAGGAGGGGGAACCCGGCAGGCGGCTTAGTGCGTGCGAAGCGCGACATGGCGGCGAGGCCGACGAGCCCCGGTGGCCCCGAGTGTACGACGAAAGGGGGCGGGGCTAGAGCGGCCTTGACAACCATTAGATCGCCTGGGGCCGGGTGGCTCGGAAACTACATTTCCCAGAGGGCCCCGCGTGCCGCGGGACGGAAGGGGAAGCTCCTCGAGTGCAACGCGCAGGCGCGAGAGCTTCCCCTGGTTATATAAGAGAAGTCTGGGGTTCGTTTCTTTCTTTTGCGTCTTCGGCTCGTTCGCTTTTGCGTCTTTTCGGCTGCGCTTCATCCGCTGTGGTGCGGGCCGGGCAACCCGCGTTTGCTGCTCTATATGGTGAGTGGAGATACTGCTGTTCTCCTTTCAAGATCTCTGTTCCTCCTTTTCCCTCTGGCTCCCTCTGCTCTGACCCTAAATAGGCGTCGGGGAAACCAACTAGAACTGGAATAATCCGCGCCTCCGTGCGGACCTGGTCCTTGGCCGGTGTAAATGATGATTTCGCTTTTTTCCCCATCAGATCGACAATGCTGATGTCTTTGAACATTGGCCAGTTAGTTCTGATCACACCGGCCTCAGGAGGCCCTGCCATGTTCCGATCCCAACCGTGAGAAGATGGCGATGGATGCCCTTTCTTTGTTGGTTCGCAGGTCGGCGCGATCCGAAGGTACAGAATGGATCCCAGAGGAGGGGGTCGCTGCTGGACCTTCAAGAGAGCCCCCCCCCCCCCCCGTAGAGCTCTGCAGCCTTTCGTCTCCTGATCTCCGGCGTAAGCATTTGTATCCTGGCCTGTCATAGGAAACGCGTGGTCTGGGAGCCTCTTCGTGTGCTGGGCAAACTTGGGGGAAAAAAACGGAGATTCAGCCGTAGCTAATTTTACTTGTAAGTAAGGTGCGCAGGACACTTCATTTTATCACGGTTCTAACGTATCTTTTAGACTAAGGTGAAAACAGATTTAGGAAAAAGAATTCCCCAAGGTGGGAAAATCTCTTTAAAGGTAATAGATGTTGATTCTTTAAATGTCTCTTGAATGCTCCTGAAAACACATTTTTGGATCCCGTTTCTTCCCATGTGAGGCTTTTTTTTGATAGACCGTTTTCTTGAGCATACTTAACGTTTCCAAGCAGAGGCTGGCGGTGCGGGCAGGTGGATGAAAGAATTTACTGGAGGCAGAACAAGAGATGTTCTTTGGCTAAACTGCCAGGAGGCCGTAGCTGGGGGCTGTAGTGAAGGGGGAAGGAGAGTAGGGATGGGAACGAATGGAATTTTCCTTTTTTGGTACCTGTGCTCAGTTTTAAGTAGCCCATCCATGATCTAGGGCTTACAGGTATTTTGAGGTGGGTCACCGAAAGGGCTTGTTTCCCTTCAACCAGGTGGTCGCTGTGGGCCTAGGTAAGTTCTTTCCGGTTTCCATTGCTCGAACCTACTGCTTAAAAGTGGCCTCTACAAAGGAGAATATATATATATATTTTTTAAGATTTTATTTATTTGACAGAGATTACAAGTAGGCAGAGAGGCAGGCAGAGAGAGGAGGAAGCAGGCTCCCTGCTGAGCAGAGAGCCCCATGTGGGACTCCATCCCAGAACCCTGAGATCACGACCTGAGCTGAAGGCAGAGGCTTAACCCACTGAGCCACCCAGGCACCCAAGGAGAATATTTTAACTAAAATTTTTTTTTAAGTACTCTACACCCAATCTGGAGCTCAAACTCCCAACCTAGAGATCAAGATTCACATGTTCTACCAATCCAGCCATCCAGGCACCCCACGTGAGGATTTTTTTTTTTTTTTAGGGAAACTTAAATTTGTGTTTTTGGTTGACCCAACCACCAATTCTCAGCTGTGTACCATTTTAATTTGCTTGAGTCCAGGAATGGCACCTTAAGGGCAGGACTTAGTGGGGGACAGATTTATCATAAAACTGGTGTCAGAGTGTTCCTGTAAATCGGGTTTTTGGTGATGGCATTTTGCGTTAAAATGGAACACCTGAGGACAGGAGCTTTTCCTACTGGCATATATGATGACTGAACTTTTTTCCCCAACAGATCGACCATGTTGATCTAACTTTCCTAAGCCAGTTTCTGTCTGATATGCCAACTTGAGCAGCTCCTTCGTCCCTCCCTTCCCTTGACCATCTAGCTGATGGGAGCTCATGTTTGTTTTTTCATTTTAGAGTTACTGTTGGCGGAAAGCAGACTTCGAGTAGACCAGGAATGAGATGTTTGGTAAGTGATGTCCATGTAGCTGAACAGATGGGATCTGGAAAACAGGAGAGATAACAACTCCTATTTTGAAGTTTATTTAAGTAATCTCTACAGCCAGCGTGAAGCTCGAATTCCTGTCCCCAAGGTCAAGAATCGCATGCTCTTCGGAGCCAGCCAGGCAGCATCCTATTTTAAATACGGGACTGTCTGTGCCCAGTGTTCTGCTCTAACTCAAATTTGGCCATTGCAATTGATGACATAACTTTTTTCCCCATCAGATCGACCATGTTGATCTAACTGAACCTTTAGCCAGTGTTTTGTCTGATGCATTGGCCCCAGAGATAACTTCTCTGTTTTCTGCTTACCACTAACTTCTGCTGTGTGTGTGTGTGTTTTAAGTGTTTTTAAGTGGCGTTTGGGCTTGGTTGGTTTTCTCCCCACCAGGAATCAGGTTCCTTACCTTGTTTGACCTGCTAACTTTCTACAGGTTAGGAGCCCTGTGAGCCGCAGGACAGTACGTAGATGCAGCCTGATGAGCTTGGTTCATTCTGACCTGCAGCAGGTGAGGTTTCTGCAAATGGCATTATCTAAGTATCTGCCCTCTTTAAAGGTGATTAAATGTTCCCCCATAGAGGTACTGAGTTTGCCTGCTGGGGAGTAACCTGGGAACCCACTTCTCAAGTGGTGGTAAAACAGAAGGGGAAAATTAAGAGTAGGATGTATTGGTACCACCCATATCCCAAACAAGTAGCTTTTTACATCAGAATTAAATACTGATTGTAATTTTTTTTTTTAAAGGAATTTCTCAACTATGGAGCTGGACTCCAAGTCTTAGAAAAGATTGATCCTGTGCTTTCCTGAGAAAGAGTGATAGTTCTGGTTGAATCTGTCTCAAAGGTTTTGTGTAACCTGAGGATTGTCTAGAGGCCTGTGCCCATTTTGGAGAATCCAGGATTATGGTTAAACTTGGTAAAAATTTTTAGCTTGTATCATTCCTATCTGGATAGAGAAAATAAAATTCTTAAAACAAAAATGCTCTTGTGTTTGATTAATGGAGGTAAACATTGAACCATGGATAATCAGTAGCAATCGTGTTTACAGGGGTCAAACTCCAGGGGCAGAGAGAAAATGGAGGGCTGATCGTACACTTGTACATTCTGCAGGCATTTCTAAACAGTTAGGTACACTAAAGCACAGGTCCAGTGATTTGTGAGATCAGTGTATATGATTAGTGCTATACTTGATTTACATATTTTTACTATTTAACCATGGAAAATTCTAGATTGGTCTAAGATACATGGCCAATCTAGTTTCATCTAACTCTTACCACTTCCCTGCCTCAATTTAATATATGTTGTTTTAAGATTGTCTCACTCAGGAAAGATGGGATTTCACACTGGGCCATTTATATTGTGCCTTCTAAGCTAAACCTTGCTATTGACTCCACATGTGATCTCCCTCCCCTTGAGTGTGTTGGACTTAGTGCTTCAAATGAACAGAAAACATGGAAGAGGGTAAATCACTGGAGATTTGACTCCCAAATTTGTTCTCTTGCTCGTCCATTCATACCTGTTTATTCCTTGGCTGGCTTTGATGAAGCAAGCTGTCAGTGGGAAATGTCCACGTAGCAAGGTTGGATCCAGGCAAGCATGTGCATGGAACCCAGCCCTGCCAAGGACTGCAGATCCTTCCCGACTGGCATCTTCATACATTCAAGAGACCCTGAAACCCGACCCATTCAAGCTGTGCCTGGTTTAGTGACCTACAGAAAATGAGATGAAATGTTTTTTATGTTAACTAGTTTTGGGGGTAATTGATCCAGCAATAAATCCAGAGCTCTGTAATCCAAAGCTCTACTATAATGGTCTTGACATGAATATCACCAACTTGCATCAGCCCACTGACCTTCCTGAATCTGTCAGGGCATTAAGAACTGGGGGCCCAGCCTACATTTCCAGGTTTGTGTTCCCCTTCATGCATTCAATTGAAACTTCAAAAACTAGGGGTGCTTGGCTGGCTCAGTTAAGCATCTGGGCCCAGGTCATAATTTCAGGGTCCTGTTTGAGCCTCCTCCCTGCTCATGCTCTCTCTCAAATAATCTTAAAAAAAAAAAAAAGCCAAACTTGGAAAAATTGAACTTCTCTCCTTCCCCCATCAAAGCTGCCTCTCCCATAGCCATTTCTTTTTGTATTGACACCTTTGGTCTAGTTGCTCAGGTAGAACATTTGGGGAATTCACGTTTTGCTCTTGTTGCACGTGTGAAACGATCAGCAAATCCCATTGGTTCTGCCTTCAAGACCTGAAATTTGTTCCAACGTTGCTACCACTTTGCTGATCCAAACCATCCTCCAAGCTCTGATTACTGGTCTTGCTACTACCACTCCCCTCTATGATCTACTATGCAGCTAGAGTGATGCTGGAAAACAAAGATCATGCCACCATCCTCAAAACCCTCTAGCACGTCCACACCTCACTCGGAGTAAAAGCCGGAGTCTGGCCTTCCCTATTTCCTCTGTCTTAATCTCTGACCTATTCCTTTCTCTTTCCCTCTCCTTCAGCCACCAAACTCTTCCTCCATCACTTGACAATCACTCCTACATAAGAATCTTTGCACTTGCTACTTCCCCTCCTTGGATCAACCAATCAATCCTAGACTCTTCAGATCTTTGCATGGTTTCCCCCCTTGGCTCAATCAAGTGTGTTTATTCCAATGTCACGTCTCCAGGGGACCTATCTAAAATAATATTCCCTTCTCTTTCTGTTCCCTCACCTTGTATTTTTTTCAAAGTATTTATCACTGCTTAAGTGACATGCACACACTGTAGGTATATTTATATAGTATATTTGTTTATTGTTGGTGCCCCCCCCACTCCCCCACCCCCATTAAACCTGGACTCCATGTATGTAGCAACTTTCCCTTCTTTGTCTATGGCCCCTCCACACGTGGCACAGTGCCTGGTATGTGGGAGGCCACTCAATATTTGCTAAATGAAAGAATGAATCACACACTTGCCTTGTGGCTGGACTGTGTTAAGACACTTGACATGCACACTTCGTTACTCATCATGACAGCCCAATGAGGAGAGAACATGATTCTTATCCCAACTGCACAGATGAAGGAGTGAGGTTCAGAGAGGTATGGTTTCCCCAGTTCTGTGTGAGACAATTGGGTCACAAACTCTGACGTGTTTGACTCCAAAGTCCCTTCTTTTCCCTTCCCAACTTAACTCCCTTCTGCTAGGACAAAGAGTATTTTCTGTTCTCTGCATCCTCTGGAGTTTCCAGAGCTATTCCTTGCATACAGTATTTTGCTCAATAAAGCAAAAATGACCAAATGATTCCTTGAACTATTACTCATGAACTGGTAGCATGAAGACACAACCCATTCCATAAATATTTATTGAGTACCTACCATGTGCCAGACTCCATTCTAGGTGCCAAGAATACAATAGTGGGGAAAAAAAATACTGCCAGTGTAGAAGATTAACTTGCCAGTGGAGGAAAGAACAATAATAGTATAAAACAATAATAGTATAATAATACTATTATATTATAGTATATAATAGTATAGTATAATTATATTATTATAGTATAAAACAATAATAGTATAATAGTATAAAACAATAATAGTATGTTATTAAGTGATAAATACAGGGGCGCCTGGGTGGTGCAGTGGGTTAAAGCCTCTGCCTTTGGCTCAGGTCATGATCCCAGGGTCCTGGGATCAGGCCCCGCATTGGGCTCTCTGCTTGGCGGGGAGCATGTTTCCTCCTCTCTCTCTGCCTGCCTCTCTGCCTACTTGTGATCTCTGTCTGTCAAATAAATAAATAAAAATCTTTTAAAAAAATAAATGATAAATACAATGTGGAAAACTCAGTACAGTAGGAAAAAGGAATCGAATTGGAAATGTATAGGTGAGCAGTTGAGCACAGAGCTGAAATAGATCAGGGAGTGAATGCTGTGAGTATCAGTGAAATTCCAGGTCAGTATAAAGGCCCTGAGGCAGAATATGCCTGCTGGATGCTGTGTTTAGAGCAGAAAGGAGGCCAGTGTGGCTTTGAGTGGAGAACTGGAAGGTCTGGCCCCAGTGGAACCATTTTCCTGCCTCATAACAATGACTATGGCTGAGTAACATCCATCCCTTTTGGCAGGTCATGTGCTTTCCAGGTCCTACCATGATCTACTTCTCTCTTTTATGTACCTGCCCTTGCAGGAATAATCAGATAATAATCAGGAATAAAAACAAGGGCTAATATTTATCAAGCCCTTACTATGTGTTAATTGCAGTCCTTTACTTGTAATCAAACATTCTTCTGACAACCCTGTGAGGTAGTTTGTATTATTAATCTCATTTGACAATTGAAGCAACAGTCTCAGAGAGGTCAAACAACTCGCCTAAGGTCAACAGAGCTGGGAAGCGTAGCAGAGCTAGGACTTCAACCCTGTCAGCTTCGCCCTTGACTTTGTAACTTTGGCTTAATGGCGGTCAGTCACGGATATGCTGTCTAGTGGACATAGGAAGGACTCAATTTCTGGCTCTTAAAAGTTTAAATGAAAAGTTCCCACGCTTTCGCTGGGCTTCCTTGTCAGTGAGATACTTCTGAGTTCAGAAGTGGCCCCAAATGCCCACCAGCTGGGGGCCCCCAATCTAGTCCTTTCTTGGCTTTTTGCTGTTGCTGCTTCCCTGAGCTCCAGGGCCAATGATAGGTCTTGAATGCTCAAACTCTGCATCCTGTCTTAGCTTCAGTCCCACCAAACATTTTTAAAAAGATTTTATTTATTTATTTGACAGAGATCACAAGTAGGCAGAGAGGCAGGCTGAGCAGAGAGCCCTATGCGGGGCTTGATCCCAGGACCCTGAGATCATGACCTGAGCCGAAGGCAGAGGCTTTAACCCACTGAGCCACCCAGGTGCCCCCCCCCCACCAAACATTTGAAGCTTCAGTGTCACTTTACTTCTTTGTCCTCCAAGCTGAGGGATCTGGCAAATAACTTCGCCTATACAAGCTTCAGTTTCCCTATCTGTGAAATGGGGTTCATAACAATATCTACTTCAGAGAATTGTAAGGTTCAATAAACTCGTGTGTGCAAAGCATTTAGCCTAAGACCTAGCAAATAGTAAGGACACAGTTCCTATCTAGTGAATAAACAAATCTTCCTGTCATGTTGAAATGGGAAGAGGTCTCTGTTGGGGAACTGTAAGAAGAAGAAGAAATGTGTTCGTTGTGTGTTTACCATGTGTAATATTCTGTTATTTATTATCTCTTTTAATCTATACCTCAACCCTGCTTGTTACTATCCCATTTTTTAAAATTAATTAATTTTAAATATTTTACTTATTTATTTGACAAAGAGAGAAAGAGGGAGAGCAGGAGAGCACAAGCAGGAGGACCTCCAAAGGGAAAGGGAAAAGCAGACTCCTCGCTGAGCAGGGAGCAAAATGTGGGTCCTGATCGCAGGACCCTGGGATCACAACCTGAGCCGAATGCAGAAACTTAACCGACTGAGCCACACAAATGCCCCTTACTATCCCATTTTAAAGACTGGACAACTGAGACTCAGGGAGGCTTAGCAACTTACTTGAGGTCACACACCTTGGAAGTGAGAGCTGGGATATGAACTTCATCCTGGGCTCCTAATTTCTGTGCTCTATTGTCTTGCAAGAGCTTTTGCTTCAGACCCTCCCCAGCTGCGTAAATGGAATCACAAGCATTTCTGGAAAGCTGTGGAGAAAGAGAAGGGATTCACAGATCATCTTCCAGAATTCGAGCAGGAGGCAGTATTGTCTCCCCTGTACCTCACTCTTTGTTGGCTGGGAACAGAGCAATTTTATAAATGGTTCTGAGTCTGGGATTAGTCCTGGCTCCAGGCATACAGCCAGCTCTTAGCTCCAGATCTCCCATCTATAAAATGGGTATAATATTACCTTCCTCTTGGGAATCTGTGAGGATCAAATGAGATATGTCAAAATGCTTAGTGTAGCACTTGGCAGGGTTAAGTGTTCGATAAGTTATAACCATCTCCCCCCTCCCC